TTATTTTTTCCAATATGGGCAGAAAAAAAATTGGTATGAGGTATCTAGAGCTCTTCACACTCTTCTCGAGCTCGTGCCAGCCGTCCGTGAGTCACCCTCTCCGTGCACTTGCCGAGTGACTGCACAGGAAGAATCCCGGTCGGGTTAACTTCCCCCCAGCTGGCTGCGAAAGCGACTTGCGGGATGAGGCCGGCCTTTTTCCGGCCTTCCCGAGGTTGTGAACAATTGGTGATCTGCCCTGTGGCTGCTAAAGATAGTCACGTTTGACAAGGGCAAAGTCATTTCCTTGTCTGGACACGAGAAAGCTACAGCTGTGCTTTTTTTTTTATTCCTAGTGGTTCATTCCCCACGTAAGAGGGGAGAAGGGGCTTGACCCTCTCTTAAAAGAAAAATATCTCTTTTTTTTTTTTTTTGCTGGCTGTTAGCAAGCACAAAGAGCGGGAGAAAGTCCCTCTTGGCTTTAAATAGCTTTCAAGGTTTCCGTAGTAAACTTTTCTGATGCTAAAAGTACTTGCAGAAGCTATTTTGGAGAACGGGAGTGTGAGGTGGAGGGAGGAGAAAGGAAAACAAGTCTGGGAACATAACCCTTGGGGGAAATGTGCCTTCTGAAAAGGGTGGGAACTCCCGCAACAAGACTCCACTGTTTCAGAGATCCCGTAGGATAAGCGCGAGGCTCGCTGTTGGGGGGCTGATTTATGGACAGGATGCGGGGTGGGAGGTGGGTTTGGGGAGAATATGTCTGGGGGGGCTTGGGGGGGTGTGTGTGTGTGTGAAAACGTATTCCAACATGTGAAATACCATGTGCTTCTGAGCTGCTCATTCCTGAATTTTTAAAGCGTGCACTCCATTTTCCGGCTTTGTCCTGTTTTTTTAGGTTTTTTTTTAAATTGAAAAATAATTTAGAGGGTTTTTTTTCACCGTCTCTTGCTTTTCTATCCCACGGGCTCTTTCGGATGCCTTTCAGCCCTCTCTCGTTCCAGGCTGTGCTGGAAATCCCACCCCCGTTACCGGCAGTTAACTCTTAACAGCAGGCCGAAGCGAGGGAGTTCTTTCGGAGAGCGGGACCGTCGTACCTCAAACGTCTCGATCGTCAGGTCGGACCGAGCACGAGCTCGTTCGTCAGGTTAACGAGGACGTACGTCGCCTCAAGCTGTTGGTTTGCTCAGCGCCCGGGAAGTGCAGGGTCTGGGGAGAGGCAGAGCTCACGCCGGGCTAAACGGGGGGACTCCCCCCTAAATCTCCTCCTACCCAGCAGTTCCTGAGGGCGGCGTGTTTCTGGCAACAGTCATTGTCCGAGCTGTGTGAAACCTCCGGGGATGACGCCCGGTTTGTTGATTTTTATGGTATTTAAATTTATGCAATGTGTTTCAAACGGGTCGAGGTGCGCGTAACCTTTTCCCTTTGGACACAACACGTTTTCGAATGGATGGTATCTGTCGGTACATGGGGGTTTTTTTGCCAGATGTTACTACTTTTAGGCCAGCTGCCTTGCCGGTTCGAATCAGCAAATGGCTTGTTTTCTGCTGCAGTGAAATGCAACTTGCTTTGAAGGATCAGAATTTTTATATTTCTTTGTACTTTTTTTTTTTTCCCGTGTGGTGAAGTCAATAAATGGATTTAAGAAAAACGAGTGAGGAGTTTTCACCTCTTTTTTGCGCGTGTTCTTTTCATGGTCTCCTTTGAGACCTGGCAACAGCGGTGCAGGTTAGTTCCTCTTTGTGCAAAAAAAAAAAAACCCAAAAAAAGAACAGTTTTGACAAAAACAGCGCTCTTTGAGCCGAGTGGTTTGTGTTCAGAGCTTTGCGTGCTCGGTTTGCACGTGCAGACTTGGCCCTCCCGTCACCAGCTAACCCTGCAGCCGGAAGGAGGCGAGACGGGTTTCAGCCGAGAGCGGATCTGAAAAGTTTCCAGTCTGCTTCACGATCGCCCTGTGTTGGCAACCCCGTTCCTCTTGACCGGCTCGGTCCCTCGTACGCGTGGTGGTGAGCGGGGTTATTTAGGACCTGATTTTAAGATGGAGTTTAACCTGCTTTTGACGGAGCTCGGTTGTGGATCTCTCCTGTTGTATTTCTTCTTTCACCCACAGGGAGGCTCTGAGGAGGATCCCAGCACAGCCTGCCTCCTCTGAGCAGCGGAGACTGGGAAGAGACGGGAAAAGAGAGCGCCCAGTGGTGCCGCTTCTGTTCCCCCACGGCGAGAGCAGCCTGCGTGGGATGCTGCCGCCCGACCAGCCGTGGAAAGGGGAAAGAGAAGGTGCCATGATCAACAGCAGATGATGAGGGCGCTTCTGGGTAGCGTTTACTGCTGCTTCCGGCAGTAAATGGAAGAAACTTTCTCCTTTCCCCCACTTTTTCCCTAAAAGGAGAAAATCCACCCTCCTGCACTCTCCTCCAACTTGGCTGGACACCAGCTGCCTGGCAGTGAGTGCAGAGGACGGGCTAGGAAAAAGGGAGGACCGCTTGTTTTCCTGTTGTCGGGGTTGCTGAGAGCTTGAGGGAGGAAAAAAGGGTGGGAGTGGGGGCTTGAAACGAAAATTCTCCATTCAGCTGCACATGGGGTTGTCGGATTGAGCACTCATCCGAGTCTTCCTATGAGAGGAGATCGGAGCACCGCTCTGCTGCGTGTCTTTTGTTTCTTCGGGAAATCGCCCTAGAATTACTGATTTGTGCTCCAAAAGCTCTTTGAACCCCTTGCCCAGTTCCACCCTGATTTGAGAGTGCTGTAAAGATGTCAAAACTATTTTATTCCTGCAGGTAGAGCAAAGGTAGTGGGGAAGGAGCAACCCTGCAGGTCCTTCAAGGGGGAGAGGCAGCGGCACTGAGCATCCCGTCACGCGTGCCGGGACGCGGTGAGTGCCGAGCGTGGGTTGTGTCGGGGTAGCTGCACCGCACGCCTACCCGTGAGTCAAAGTCCAGGAGTGGAAAAAATGCTAAACGAAACCAAATTGATCTGCCGGCTGGGTTGGGCTCTGCTTATCGGAGCTGAATTGCTCGGGGCTACGCTGAGAAATATGGATGCGGCCAGAGTTTAACCGAGAGGCCCTTAGGGTGGAGGCGGCGCAGGCTTCATGCATGAGCGCAGGGTGAAACTCTACCCGCTTCGGAGGAGGTCTTCGCCCCCTTCAACCCCTCCCTCCTCCTGCGGCCGTCTGAGGACCGGTCCCCTGTCCGGCAGACCGGGGATGTCCCTGTGTTTGCACAGGAGCCGTTCAGGCTTTTTTGTTGACGTGGCTTTTGTGCTTATTCTCGGTACCAAAGAGAGAACGGGAGGAGAGGACCTTGAGCAAATACATCAGGTCCACGAGGTGTCCCAGCCCATCCGTTCCCTCTGCTCGCGTCCCGGCTGGAGCTTTTCCCCTCGCCCCTTGCTCACGTAAGAAGGAAGCTCGCAGAGACCCAATTATTCATCATCAACTACCTTGAGCAAATGCTCCCAAATCCACTCCCTGACCTCTGCTCCAGGTCCCAGCTTAAGCCACCAACCTGCAAATCCTGCTAACCACCCTGTATTTGATTTTTGTTTTAAAGCCTTGGATTTTTAAAAAGCCTTGTGAACAAACAGCTCGAACATGAGGTGATCTTTACAGCAGGGCAGCACTGTTTTCATTATGGGTAGGGCGCCAGCCAGATAAACACATCATCTTTGCCTCTGTAAGACAAAAGTCCATGGCCTGTGCAGGTTTGTTTAGATTTAAAAAAAAAAAAAAATATTAAAAAAAAGGGTGAGATTGCATTTGCAAGGTTGGAGCTCTTTCGTGTAAGAAAATCAGGGGGAGAAGCAGGTTTACGTCCTGCTCTGGAGCTGCGGGTAGCCGTGGCGTGGGGCTGCTGCTGTAGGGCGTTCGGGTGTCGCTGCACCGTCGTGTGCTTAAATCAGACGTTTCTGCTCTGCAGAAGGTCCCGTGGTAAGATTTGCCCCAGCTGCACTTGGCTTGTTAAAACCTCCCCGCGGGTGGCTCCGGCACATCCCAGGTTGAGCTGGTCACCATTCCGGAGGGCTTTTCTGTTGGTTTTCTTGTCCTTTTTTCTTCTCCATGCATGACAGGGGACTTCCTGCAGCCAAGCTGCTGCTCTTCGCCCCTCGGGCTTTTCTGCAGAGCTGGCAGCTCTCAAACACCGTCTGCCTCCTCCATGATGGGCGCCGAGAAGGGGAAGACCTCCTGCAGCAGGTTGGTGACGAAGCAGGGCATCTCCTTGCATCCCTCATAGGTGCCCCTGGCCTGGCAGCAAAAGGCCACCTCCCAGTTAACGCGGGTCATGAGGCGGTTGAGGGCCAGGTGACGTTCCTCTCCCTCCAGGACCTTGAGCAGACTCTGGAGGAACATGGATCCGGAGATGTTGAGGAAGGCCACGTAGCCTGCAGAGCGTAAAGGAAGGAGAGCAACGTTGGCTGCGCCGTGGCCCTCTGATGGCAACGTTTCCAAAAGGAAACGTTTTTGGCCGGCGTTGGTGTGTCAGGGGCTCTCCCTTACCTGGGCTGCAGGCGAACATCACGGCGGTTTGAGGAGGGATGGAGAGGTAGTCTGAGAAGCAGTCTGGCTCGCACTCTGGCTCGCACTCTAGCTGAAGCTCCCCGCTGTCGCACTCCACAACCACCCCCTGGTCGAATTCTTTCCCCCGGCAAGCCTGCGGGCAGAACGGCTGTCGTGAGCTTCCCCCTGCTCTGCTTTCTCCCTTTTGCCCATTTCCAGGGCAAGCCTAAAGCTCCTGGGGTCTTTGGGGGCTCCCTGTGGACCTGTAGCCCTCCTCAAGCCAAGCCTACAACCCATCCCGTGGTGCAGAGCCCCTCCCAGCTCCCGTTCCCCGAGTCCTACAGCCCCACACGATTCCTCTCCCATCTCCCTCCCCTTCCCATCTCGTCCGTCGACCACCCTCTTCCCTTCTCACCCACTGCAGCTCAGCTTTGCCAAGCCTGTCTTGCGACAAGCCTAGAGATGGGGCTCCCTCCTCTCTTCCCTGCGCATTTCTCGCGAGGCTGGTTCCCCTTCTCTTTGCATTTCCCCCTCCCCTCCCCGGTAAACGCGGTTGCTGCACGTGCGAACCCAGAAATACACCCGGAAACACAAAAGCCCGCTGGGAAAGTGCTGGCAGAGACTCCCCTTGGAGCGCAGCCCGCGGGCAGCCCCGTTCGTGCACGGTCCTTTATTCTACGCGGTGGTTTGGTCTTTCTTGTGGGGACAGAGTACGGGGCTGGTGCTGGGAAGGTGCTGGAGAGGCACTAGAGCTGCCGAGGCTGCTCTGAGGGCACGTTTCACCCCTACCTGGAGCCACTTCTGCTGGGACACGTTGGTTGGGACCAGACCAAACGGCGGCGGTGGACGTCTCCCAGCGTTAGGGGAGGGGGGAGCATCCCCCTCACCTCTCCCTGTGCAAACTCCCCGCCAAACGCTAGCGGTAAATCCTCGCTCGGGACTTGGCCCGCAGAGATGCCTGCAAGCTAGCTGCAACACCCTGGCACTGAACGGCCCCGGAGAGGTGGACGGAGGCCACCAGGAGCCCGCGGGGACCTGAGAGCCGTGGTGATGCCGTGGGGAAGCAGCCCTTCTCTTCCAGCCTGGGCTCTGGGCAACCCCAGCCCTGCAGTTTGTCGGGGACAGCGTTCGTCGGCACCAGCACAAGCTTTGCCCGCTGAGCGGGGTGCCCAGACCACCCTCCGGGTTTGTCGGCTCGTCTGGGGGATGTCCCCGGCTGTCGCTGCTCCCTGAACAGAGGCCAAGCCCTTTGCCAGAAGGAAATGCCGTGAGTAATTTATACTTGCTTTCAGGTGAAAAAAAATTCCTGTACGTTTGCGTAAGAGCTCGGCGCTATCTGCTGGTATCCATCCAGCTGCTGAATTATTAGTTTGCTCGGTGATCTAACCCTCCCTGTCGGATCGGCGTTAAAGCGCACTTCCAGGGCTCCTTTCCTGCAGGAACATGTTCAGGCTCCCCCCTGCTTCACTGCTTGGGAACCGGCCGTGGGCTTTGTTTGGTTTTTTTTTTCCCCTCCTACATCACCAGTTCGTAGCTGGGCTTCTCCCAGCCCTGCCCCGGGAGCTTGCTGCGCCCAGATGTCACGGTGATGGGATTTGAAGGCAGCTGTTACCGATTCATCTAGACCCTGGTGGTGTCTGGGAGGAGTATTTGATCCCAGCAACGTCGCGTATCGTGGCAAACAATTGGGTCTCAGCCCAGGTAGTCCTGAGGGTGCAAACCACCGGGAGAAACGCTCCTGCCTGGAGGCACTGGGAAAAGGCCGAGGCTGTTTCCCCAAGAAAGGACACGGGTGTGGGTGATGGCGGGCTGGGAGAGGAGTGTTTGCAGTGAGCAAAGAAACCTCAAAATTGGTGAAAGCGTGAAAAAAGAGGGATGGAGGGTTGTGGGAAGCTGGGGAGTGACGGAAGGATGGAGCTCTCGCACGGATGTAGCAAAATCCACGATTGGAACAGACTTAACACCAGCAGCAACCTTAAGCCTCGTGCTTGTGCCAGTCTAATTCTGCACAAACTTAGGAGAAAGGGAATCAAATTCTCGTCCAGCGGCTGTGTTACCTGGATAAAGAAGATTTTGGGTATTTTGGTGAGCACCGGGCACTTCTCCGACGATAAAATCTGGAAAATCCGGGTCAGCATAACCGGCTTCGAGTCGCAACCGAATATGATCCCCTCCTTTCCGTGGCTGGAGATGATGCTCACGAAGTACTCTCCGTGCTCGCAGCAGGACTCTGCAAAGACGCGGCCGAACCGATGCCTTTGAGCATCGAACCAGGGTGTCGCGGAGGGTACTTAGACCGGGAGGTGGGACATGGGAGGTAGCTGGGCTTGGGGGAAGACGAGGAGGGGGTTTAGGGGCTGGCAGGGGGACGTGTACCTTGCTGGTAAAGGTCTTCTATCTCCTTGGCTGTCTTGTTATGCATCAGCTTCACCTTGTAGTTGAGCCGTGAGAGTATGTTGGAAAGCTTCTCCGCTTCTCTCTTGGCTCCTGCCCGGGTCTGACACACCACATCACCGTCGCTGCTGCTGAAATCGGTGTTGACGATGACAAGAGCCCGGCTTTGCCTCGGCTGGGACATGCTGGGGTGTCCCCTCGGATGGGTGGGTGGTCTCCAAACCCCCACCGTCCCGGCGCGGAGCTCAGGCTTGTCTAGCAGCGAGGCCGGAGTCCTCCTTCGGGAAGTGCGGGACAACGTACCCTGCTCTGCTGGCTGACTCAGCGCCAGCGTGGTTGATTTTTCAAGGGCAAGGCAGGAGCAATGCCCTGTCACCTGCTGAGGGAGCGAGGTGGCACCTGGGCATGACTCACAGGGGTCGGAGGGGGCCACGGCTCGCCCCTGGGTTCAGCTGCGAGAGGGCTGGGCTGGCACCCTCCGGCCTGGAGCATATGGGGCATATGTGGGGAGGAGAGGGAAAAAAAAAAAAGAGGATTTTTTTTTTGCCCCAAGGGGATGGTGGGGGGAGGGAGAGGGCTGGGGGATGGAAATGCCTGCGTTGCGGGAAGCACCGGGAGCGGCCAGGCAATCCCTCCCTGCCTTTCTCGCCGTCTGAGTCCCTGTTTCCCCAAAAAGCCAGGCAATTCCTGCTTCCCGTCGCTGACCGTGGGGGAAAATGGCCCCTTCCAGCTTCCCCCGCGAGCTCCTAGCAGGGCTTGTTGGCCAGTGTTGCTTATTGCCTAACCCTGCCCGCTCCCGGGGAGGCAGCAGGCACTCGCCCGCTGGTTTTACCCACTTGGGGTACCCATTTATGGCACTTCTGCAATTATTCCTCCCCAAAACATTCTGTGCCGGTGCAGGATGAGCCCCCGGCGACACGCTCACAAGGCCGGCTCTCAACTGCACCCCCTCTCTCCTTCCCTTCCCAGACTTGCTGACCTGCGGTGTCGAAAAGCAGCCCTCTCACGCCGCCCTCACCCCAGCCCTGCTGATCCCGTGTCACGAGGCGCAAATCACAAGATGATGATTATTATTATTATTATTTATTTCTGGTCTCACATGCTTCCCTTCCCATTTGGAGAGGGCTTTGAGTTCCCAAGCTTTTTCCCAGCAGACAGAAGGGCTGGACTTTTTTTTAATTGCTAAAGGAGCGGGTGTTGGCACCATCGCACGTCTCTGGGCGATGGAGGGTAGAGCAGCACTGAACTATCGCGGGGCTGAGGGGCTGCGTCGCTGCAGAGCACGCTGGTCCTGCTACGCCGCTGCCGCAAGGCATGACTTTGAAAGCACCATACAGCTAAGCAAGCACCGCTGCTCTTCAATAGTTTTAAACCTATTTAAACCTGGCTTAAATCACTCCAGCCGCCACGCCTGGCTTTGGCACGCCGGAAGGACCCGCTTACTCCGCCGCCCCGCTGAGCCAGGAGCCGGCTCCTTCCTAAAGGACCGTGTCCGTGAGCCTCTCCCGGGTGTCTTGGTTAAAACGCAGCGACGGGGCTTAGCCTGGCGTGATTTCCCTTTGCTTAACTGCAGGCGGTGCCCGTCCAGCGGCTGGCGGGGGTTTACCGAACTGCTGCCTGGGCGAGCCGGTGCACACCGTCCCGGGGAGGTCTTTCTTCCTCTGCCTCCGCAACCCCCGGGGCTCCTGACTCCCCCGTGGAGCTTTAGGAGCCCAGCGAAGCTTTAGGAGCCCAACTCGGCACCGAAGCTGCTGTCTGAAAGCGGGGGAAAGCATCCCCGGGGGCGGGCTTGCTCCCCTTGACCCAGCGGGTCTGGGGGACGCAGGTGAAGGTTAATGCTCTTCGGACACTGGTGGGGATCAAGCGGCCGTGGGCGTTTGCTGGTAGAAGCTGTTGGGTTTTTGCCTTCTGGTGCAGCAGCCTGGTTTTTGGGGTTGCCTTGACTTCTCTCCTGGCCGCTGCTGCACATGGCAGCTCTTGGAGCCCCTCTTCCCTCCAGCGGGCGAAGGGTTTTGCCCTCAAAAGGGCGGCCAGGGCTCAGCGCTGGCTTTTACTCGCTAGCGGTGGGCGTTGTGGTGGAAGGAGGTGAGCTCTAGGTGGGTAAGGTCCAAGGCAAGCTGCCTGGAAATGGCTACGGCGTCTTCCTGGGCTTGTGACCCTTTGGCTTTGCATTAGAGGAGGATGTGCTACGGGTGATTTGCAGCGGAAACTAAGGCACCGGAGGGAAAGGGAGGTCCTGGCCGGTGGGACGGCAGGCGTTAGTCCCTCTTCTTAGAGTCGGTGGCCTGCGTGCGCTTTTTCAGCCATGCCACGTCAATGTAGAGGTTGCGCTTGAGGACGGCGCTGCTGCAGATGAGGGCTCCTTGCAGGGCTCCCACGAAGCCGCCCAGGCACAAATCCTGCCCTGGAAGAGAGCGGGAGGCGGCAATGGGGCCGTGCTGGGGACCCGAGGGCAGCCCGCGCTCTCTGTCCCCAACTGACCCTCAACGCTGCTGGACATCACCGTCCCCGTCCACCATCCGCCCTCCCCACCCAGGGCAGCCCGCGCTCTCTGTCCCCAACTGACCCTCAACGCTGCTGGACATCACCGTCCCCGTCCCCCATCCGCCCTCCCCACCTTCCAGCTGCCCCCACGCCAACCCTTGGGTTTGACCCCACAAAACCCCTCCCTGTTTGACCCCTCTTCTTTCTCCCCCGCAGGGAAAGGGCCTCATCCTGCCCAGCTAAAATAAATCAGCCCTGGGCAGGGAGACAACGTCCAGGAGCTGGAGGAGGCACAGCCCTTTCCTCCTCCCGTTGGGACCATGCAGCTCCGCTTAGGCACGCTCCACCGGCTCTTGCATCACCCCATGGCACGGCAGCGGCTTGTCCCCTTATTTCATTTAAGTTTTTTCTCCCCCCATATCCTGCTTCCCCGGAGGCGTCCTCATCTGAGAACGTGGTGTCCGGGCGGTGGCCGTGGTACCTGTCAGGTAGAGGTTGGGGACGGCCGTCTGCGCCCTCACGGTGGCAATGGCTTCGGCTTGCAGGCGGGCCATGCCGTGGGCGACGCCGTAGATCTCCCCCCTGGGGCTGGCGATGTAGTGCTGGTTGGTGAGGGGCGTCCCTCCGGAGATGTACTCGATCTGGGGAGGACGAGGGGACAACGTGGTCTGCATGGGGGTAGGCGTGATGGTGCGGGGTGACTCATTGTGCTCCAGAAAGCTGTTTTCGTGGGGGTTACGGGCTGGGACAGGTTTCCTTGCAGACCCCTTGGGTGGTGGTTCTGGCCAAGTTTGGTCCCAGGATGGTCCTGGAGGATCATCATACCCCCGCCTTGCACCATGCGTGGTCAGGAGGCAGCAGCGATGGGTTGGTGCTGGACCTCATGTCCAGCAGACCCAGACCCTGCTCCTACGTTTGCAGGAAGGGGCTGGGTGTACAGGACCCAGGAGAGGAGCTGGAGGAACCGCGAACCCCAGGTTTCCTCACCCTGTCCTCGATGCGAGGGTAGAGCTTGAAGACGGCCTGCATGACGGTGTCCACAAAGGTTTTCTTCAACTCCTCGTAATCATCTCCCCGCTTATTGACCTGCTTGTCCTTCCACTCCTCAAACCACTCGTATTTGGCGAAGGTCGCGATGGCCAGCGTGGATTTACCTGCAGCAGGACAAGGTTGGGGCGGTTGTCCCTCTGCCCGCCCTCATGCCACCATTCCGCTGCCACAAACCCAACCCGCCCCATGCGAACACCCGGGATGTCCCCCGGTCTTTGTGGTCCCGTATCCTGGTCCAGTTCCCTGGAAGACCGCTTTCCACGAGCAACCTGCTCAGCAGCTTTGACCGCGGCTATTTTAGGAGAAACTCCTCATTTGCGGTCATCATAGAATCACCGAATCATTAAGGTTGGAAGAGACCTCTAAGATCATCGAGTCCAACCGTCAACCCAACACCCCCATGCCCACTAAACCATGTCCCTCAGCGCCTCATCTACCCGCCTTTTAAATACCTCCAGGGATGGGGACTCAACCCCTTCCCTGGGCAGCCTGG